CCTACACTATATACATAGTCCCTCTAAATGACATTAGTGGCAGCTATCTCTCCTTATACATTTTGGAAAAAACTAACTTGTGATTTGAGATTTTTTTTTTTTATCCCTACCACTTTGAAGTAATTGGGACTTATCCTAACACAATTTTGGTAGTGTATTTTCCTAGCTAGTCTCACATACCAAGGCCTTGATAATGGGGTTTCCAACAACTTTTTTAAGTACCACTCTTTGTTTTCTGACACACATAATGGGATGGTTTCTTTGAGTATTTATAAACTCTTCCCAGGACTCGATTTAAAAACACCCAGTAAAGACAACATTCTTTTCTCGAAACAAAGGAACAGAAGACTAACAATGATTTCTACAATGTCACTTCCTCATAGTTTTTCCCAGTTCTAAAATAAACATAAAATATTACTAAAACCTTAATTGATTAAAAACATATGAACAATTGCATAAATAGGCAATTTTACTTCAATCATTACATTTAACAAAATATAGACATAGTCTGAGCATTCATTACAAATGAAAATTGAGAGATGTTATAGAAGAGTGTTTAGGAGGCCAGCCGAACAGCCAAGGTTTCAACTGTGGCTCCATAGCTTTGTACTAGATTAGCCTCCTCTTTGTACCTAAGCTTACTCATCTGTAACATAATATAACTATTACATATCCACCTTATCTTGTTTCTAAGGAGTATCTGAATTAACACATGTGATCTGCTAGAGATTCATCCTGCTTTGTTTTCTTTGTTTGCTTGTTTGTTTTTTTATAAAATTGTTTGGAATATTTGATCTTTAAATGCAAACTGTTTTCCCAGGTAAACACTATGGTTCTCCTCATACGTTATCGACTTATTTTGTAAATGTAATTCCATATAGACATCAAGTCCAGTCTTCTTAAAAGGTCTTATAAAGGTGAATTTGAAGATAATTTTCTGAAGTTATACCTCAATGTTAATATTCATTGGTCATTAAAGATAGTGATGAGTAATTCAGTAATATCTGAAAATTTGAATAGCAAAATTCAAAATATGAGAACGTAGTATTCTAATGCATTTCAAATAGCCTAGTCAGTGAATTAAAATAAAATAGTAATTTTAAATGGTATTGTTTCAGACTTCTGAAGTAATACCACTGTGACTTTATGTTGATATGACTGCAAAATATAGATAAACTGTTAGAAGCATCTCTCTGCTGTTAGAAAGGATATCTATGGCTCATTAAAACCCTGGTACTATTATAAGTCCTTCTTATTCCCCTTAGGACTTAGTCTCTTCGCAGGTGGATTCTAATCTATTATACCTGCATTCCCAGGGATGAATAAATTCCTAAGCCTAGTAATAGGAAATCCACCAATGCCTCACCGTGAGTGAATTGCCAGGCACCTTTTTGCACTGGAGGAATATTCTGTATTCAAGTCTATCTTACAGGAAAGCGAAGATTGTATGTGCTCAAGGGAGTAATTTGCAGTACTCGAGTATCAAGGATTAGGATTTCAGTGTCTTTCCTGAGAGTTCAGGGATCTCCTCTCGATGCATTGCTAATAAATGGACCCCGAATATACATGTGATGTTCTCAGGTCAGTTTTGTCACCAGCGCCTAACTTGTTTCTACCGCCACACTTCATTGCCGTGGTATACAGCCTTTACTTTCTCTGGCTGTCAAGCAGTGAGTGTCCTGACTGGGTTAAATTTCATCAGCGTGAGAAAGACTGACACACAAAATAGAAGGAGAAACATAAAACCGGAATTAGAAAAGTGTTAAGTGACGTAATGAAATGCAAGTCTGACCAAGCAAGACCTCCATATGCTGCACTGTAAAGCATGTTCGTTGTACAGGCTGAGGTTCAAAGTGCAGTTATATACCCTCTGCTTACCTTCTGGCTTAATCTCTCAGATTCTTGATATATAAACAACAGAAGCTCAATAAGTATATAGGTGAATTAATAAATGGAATGATATTTCTCACTTTCACAACCTGGCTTCATCAACTAGGCTATGAGCTCTGGAGGATGAGGAATTATGATTTATCCATCTTTATTATTTCCAGAACACTGCCCAGTGCCGGGGGCACATTAGGTGTCTATGCATGCTCTTTGGTGGATGGTAAGGAAGAGGGCAAGGGAACAAAGGCAGGAAGAAGAAGTGAAGGTACCATTGACTAACAGCAGTTGTTCTATTGCAGGGTTACGCTCACTTGGGATGACAATCACCCAGTGTTATGAAGAAGTTGGCCTACTGCTCCTCTTTCTATCTGTGGGAATTTCTATATTCTCAACAGTTGAATATTTTGCTGAGCAAAGCATCCCTGACACAACCTTCACAAGTGTCCCCTGTGCGTGGTGGTGGGCCACAACATCCATGACTACCGTGGGATATGGGGACATTAGACCAGACACCACCACAGGCAAAATTGTGGCCTTCATGTGTATATTATCAGGAATCCTTGTCCTGGCTTTGCCTATTGCTATTATTAATGATCGCTTCTCTGCTTGCTACTTCACCTTGAAACTCAAGGAAGCAGCTGTTAGGCAGCGTGAAGCACTGAAGAAGCTCACCAAGAATATAGCCACCGACTCATATATCAGCGTTAACCTGAGAGATGTCTATGCCCGGAGTATCATGGAAATGCTTCGCTTAAAAGGCAGAGAAAGAGCAAGTACTAGGAGCAGTGGGGGAGATGATTTCTGGTTTTAGTGCACCTTTAATTTATTTATAAAAGCTGTGTACAATTAACTTGATTGATAAAGCCTTGATATAAATGTCTATAGACTGCCGATGAGTCTCTTTTGAGCACTATCTGTCTTAATTTTTGATGATACATTCATTGCTTGATCTGCTAGAATATTTCACAGCCCCCATAACAACTGCACAATGTTTTGACACATTTGAGTCTCAAAAACAGCAAATTAACACAATCAAACATAATTGGACTAATATACACTTGTGTAAATTGTCAAATATGCAATAGGATCATTGTAATGTTTATGACAAAGTTAAAGGTTCTATGTATCACTAATTTTAGAAGTGTTTTGCACCCTTAATTTTTAAAACATGGAAGTGAAGTGACATAGTCCAGAGAAAAGACGAGTGAACATTCAAGAACACACTGAACCACATTGTTATTTAAAAATATTCTCAAAGAAAATTAATTAGTCCTTTCTCCATCATTTAAACTTTTGCATATAACAATTAGGTTTGCAAGAGAAAATCCTAACTTGATGGTTATAGATTATATTTCTGTCTTCCATCTGGTGCCAATTGCTGGCCTCAAGGAGGCTGAGCTGAGCTCTGTATCTGATCATTACTATGGAGAAGAGAATTGCTCAGACTGCAGTAGATGGGCCTGTACAAAGACCTAGAAGCACACCTCTTTATCTTCCTAGCTGAGTATAACATGTAAAGTCTAAAGCGGTATTTTTCTTAGTATTTCATGAAAATCAAATAGTCTATAAAAGTCTCTTCATGGATGTACGATTCAAGTTTTACCTTTAAAATCATGACTATGTAAAGTAAAACAGTGAACATGGTAAACGTATACACTGAAATTATTAGTCTTATTCAAAAAGTGAAAATGACATGTTGAATGACATCATGACATGAACTCCAAGGTCTTTTATTTATTAACAAAAACAACAAAAACTTCTAGATGTTTTCTGACTCTTGACCAAATAGCAAATGTTTGAAATTCACAGACATTTTTCACATTCACAATAATAATAAAATTTCTAGACACTCTGTTACATAATGAAAGCAAAAAGCTCTAAAACTAAGACTAGCTCATGATTCCTGATGTCCTAGTAAATACGATTTTTCAGAACTAAGAATAACAAGGAATAGATCACTTTATATATCAAGTAATTTTGAATGTATGTGATATACCCTCCCAAGGGGGAAAACATTAGTTCTTGTGGGAAAAATATCTTACTCTTTTTATGTATAAAACACACACACACACACACACATATATATATATATATATATGTGTGTGTATATATATATATATATATATATATATATATATATATATGAAGGGCCTTAAAAAAGTTTGTGGGAAATGCATATTATGAAAAGCCTGGGGACCAGCAGTTAGCGTAATGGCTATGTCGCTGGACTCCCACATAGCCGACCCCGGTTCACGTCCTGGACCCGGTGGCTTAAAACTCAATGCCGGGCTCGTGTGCGTGCGTGCCCAAGATCCCGAGAGGACAATGGAGGAGAAGGGATTGTGGCGTGGCCAACGCCCCTGGGGGGTGATTTCTCACTTTCTATCTCTCTGTCTCTGTCTGTCTGGCAAGCGCACGTGTCCTATGGCAAAAACCTCTCAAAAAAAAAAAAAAGCCTGGATTTCTTACTTTTTGCATCAAAATAAACATGTACATTAATTCCATTATTTAAAAACTTTTTTGAGGTACTGTCACATAGGCAATGCATATAGTATATTTGTGGTATTAAAATTCTAAGGGTAGGAAATCAGGAAAAAATAATTCTTTGAAGAATTTTTTCCAGGAATAAAAGGTGATAAGAAGGGAACAGTAAGAGACTCTGCTTTAGTATGCAAATTGAGTATCTTTAATCTGAAAAATCTGAAATGTTCCAAAATTTGATACATTTTAAGTGCCAACATGATTCTACAGGGAAACATTTAACACCAGATTTTATATGACCAGTTGCAACCAAAACCTGTCTTACAAAAGGATTGTATAAAATTTATCTTCAGGCTATCTGTAAAAGGTATATTTGAAACACAAATGAATTTCATGTTTAGACCTGGAGCTCATTCCCAAGGTATCTCATTATTTACTATATGCAAATATTCCAAAATCTGAAAACCAAAACACTGCTAGCCCCAAGAATTTCAGATAAGTGATACTTAACCTACATTGTTATAATGTATTTTCTTAACTCTATTCAATTCATGCTATTACTTTATAAACTACCAAGAAAGGAATAATGTGACAAACAATTGTAAGATTCAATTGATTATAAAATGCTTCCAGATTCTGGTTATATAAAGACTTAAAATATGTTTCTTAAAAATCAATGAACTAGTGCATGTACTACCTCCTGTTTTCCGGTGTGCATGCTCTGAAACATTTTCATTGATGGCATGAGTTTTAGATTGTGTGCTAGAGTAATTCAATCCATTTGACTTGTTTTTACTTCTCCTAACAATTATGAAATATTTAGGAAATATGAGTACCAATAAAATATTCTCCCTTTTATCCACATTCATAGGTGCTTAAAGAATGGCACAGGGCCACTGGCTATCAAAAAAAAAAGAGAAGAAAATCCATAAGGCCAGCAGGTAGAGTGGAAGTTAAGGCAGTAGATTCCCATATGGCCATCTAAGCAGTTTTAATCCTAGATATGGTAGCTTGAAAATCACACTGGGCGCATGTGTCTATGTGCCCCATATCCCAAGAAGACTCTAGAGGAGAAAGGATTGTGGCATTGCCATCCCCCCTTGGGGATATTTTCTCATTTTCTCTCTCTCTCTCTCTCTGTCTCTTTCTGGTACCCTATAGCAAAAGAAAAGAAAGAAATCCCACCCAGAGTCTGAAGTAGAAGTTCCTCTGGCTTCTCTAGAACTTTCTCTAATAAGAATAGTGACTCTGAACCTAGTAATAGTAGCACACACCAGTTGACCCTGCTATTCCACAGGCTGAGACCACATGGAAGGCTGAGGTTTAGTTCCTATTCCATGCTAAAAGCCAACGGCAGTGGTGCTGACCAGTAGTCCCAGCTACATAGGAGACTGAAGCAGGAGACTCATAACGTAGCAAGACCATGTCTTAAAAGAAAAAGAATAAGTACTGTTCTCTTATATTTAATAGCTGATTTAAGTGTAGGAGAGAAGAAAGATGAAAACTGAGTTACTTTTTAAAAACAATAATTCTATTATCATTGCTAATTTAGATATGATAGTTGTACAGATTTGTGCAGTGCAGTGTGGTTTATCAGAACATGTGTATAATGTGTACTGATCAGATCAGGCCAAAAGCATAGCTACCATCTCCAAAATTTATTTATTTATTTATTTTTATTTATTTGTGTTTTTTGCCTTAGGACACATGTGCTTTCCAGAGAGAGAGAGAAAGACAGAGACAGAGACAGTGAGAAAGAAAATGAGAAATCACCCTTTCGGGGCGGGAGGGTGGGGGGTGGTCACACTGTAATCTCTTTTTCTCCATTCTCTTCCCAGGATGTTGGAAACACACACATACGTGCCTGGTATGATTTTCAAGCCACCAGGTGTGGGAACGTAATCATAGTTGTCTATGTGGGAGGTCAGTGACATAACCACTAAGCCATCTGCTGTCTCCCACCTCCAGCATTTAGTTTGCTGTGTTGTGCATGTTCAAAATCCACTCTTGGTTATTCTGAAATACATATTGAATCATCACCCACTTTCTTTATTCTATTATACTATAGTATTTACAGCCCATTCCACTATACATGTACTCTTGCACCTGTTAACTGAATTCTGCCCATCCTACTCAATGCTCATCCCTTTCAATCTCCTGGTATTTGTCATTACATTCTCTACTTCTATGTAATTAAATCTCTTAACTTCCACTAATGAATGAAAAAAAGGTGTTTAAAACCGAATTACTTTAAAGGTGTGATAACTGGCCCAAATTCATACAACTTTGAATTCACTGAAAGCCAATCAGCCTGACCCTGAAAATTATACTCCTGAAAGTGCTATTACAGATTTCATTACTCCTACACAAGCTGTGCATAGGGATTCATTTCATATGCATGCAAGTCAGTTTCTTATGGACGAACAGGTGTAATGTGCCTTAAGAGAAATATCATAGAGACCAGAAGATGGCATAATGGTTTATGTCGCTGGACTCCCACATAGTTGACAATACTTCAAGTCCTTGACTCAATGACTTAAACTCACACTGGGCATGTGGACATGCATGCCCAAAATCCTGAGAGGAAAATGGAGAAGGGATTGCCACATGGCATCCTCCCTCGGGGGTGATTTCTCACTTTCTGTCTCTCTGTCTCTCTCTCCAGTGAGCACACACACCAAATAGCAAAAAAAAAAAACTCTCTCTCAAAAAATAAAGAGATAAAAGAAAGAATGACATCATCATAATCTCAAGAATGGAATGGTGCTTTTAAGGATTAGTTTTGATATGTTGGGGACATTATTAGGCAAGAAAAATATTATCTTTAAAATAATTAGTAGTTGGAAAATTAAAAATTAAGAAATACGTGTGTTCGTGTGTATTTCTTTCACAAAGAACCCTAAAACTAAACCTATTTTCTACAAATGTATACATTTTGTCAGGATGTGGATATAAATTGTTTTTAGTGAATTGTTGCCTAGTCTTAACTTTTCAACACCTCTCCAACATTTTATTTTTTATTTATTTTTATTTTTAATTTGTCATAGGATATGCCTACCAGAGAGAAAGAGAAATTTCTCCCTCTCCATGGGACATGGTCATGTTGCAATCTCTTCTCAATTTCTCTCTCCTTTCAGGATGTTGGACATGCATGCATATGCGCCCAGTATGTTTTATAAGCATGGCTGGCCATGTGGGATCTGGCTCCCTTAACTGGTAGGCTACAGGACCAGCCTAAAAATAACTTTAAAATATCAGTAGTTAGTCAGCTTAACTGTTATATAAAATATCACTATACTTATTCAGCAACTGAAAACCAAATCTAAATAACAGACCAAAATAGGAACTTTGTTCATTTTATATTTCATCATTTCTAAAACACTGAGCATTATTCAAAAATTTGTACAGATATTTGCACATCATGTTTAATGCAACATTTATTTATAATTACTGAAACATGGAACCAACCTAAGTGACAATTGGGTTGAAAGACTGTGGTATATGTGTACTATGGAATATTACACAGCTATAAGAAACAATGAGATCCTATCATTCAACTCAAAATGGATGAATATAGAGAATCTAATGTTGAGCAAAGTGAGCCAGACATTAAAAGATGCACATTATATATCCCTACTCAGTTTCTACTGTCTGCTCTTAATGGCAAAGGTTGAGAGATCTGACGATGTGGAGGAGAAGAACAGTGTGGATGCTAGTGACAGTAAGAAGGGGA